CGCGAGTGTTGATAGTTGATCCAAGAAGAATGAAGTCCTTGACAACTTCAATCCTTTCTCCATTGATAAGAATGTTGTTTATTGGTCCAGTGGTGGACTTCACAGAGTACCCTCCCAATTTATTAAAATTTCATTTATCAGAGGACATTTTAGATGGGTCTTTGAAGCATAAATAGGAGTTCAACAGTGAAGGTGGCAAGAGTTTTGTTTCAGGTGGAGGGAGTGCACAAACAAGGTCCAGAGTTGGGAAAGCCTCAGGTGGAGAATAGGGAACACAGGTCCACAGTTCTTTATCTGCCTTCTGAATTGCAAAATGTTCTAAAAACCAAAAGTTTAATGTACATACTTGGTGGTAAGACCTAATCAGAACTGGCACAAGGTTTTTATACTCTTTATTTATCTCAATTATGTATTCAAGGAGCTCTCATAGAGCAGTGGTGACCAGTCAGGCTGCTAACTTGAAGTTCAGCAGTTTGAAACTACCAGATATTCCACAGGAAAAAGATGAAGCTTTCTGCTCCCGTAAACATTTACTGCCTCTGAAACGCTATGCAGGGTTGCTATGAGTCAGAACCAACTCCATAGCACAATACCACCACCATGTAAATATTCATATTCCTATGCTTTACTGCATAAAGAATGGATTAGATTATAGGGTGCTGATCCAGACTCCTCTGAGCACCCTAACTAAAATCCAAATAGTTTCTTAATTTTGAACCCATTTGGTACCAGACTTTTAGATGAAGGATTGTGGGTTCTATTCTACTTTTACTGGAGTCCAGTGTGTATGTATTGAGACGTGGGAGATGAAGATGAAGAGGTAGGTTGAGGCAGAGATGAAAGAAGGCCTTGTGTGTAAGCGCTGAGCTTGGATTTTATCAGTTAAGCAGTGGGGAGCCACTTGAGCAGATGTGTGTCTAAGAGCGGGAGGTGTTAACTAAGGCAAAACAGACCTGTTCCATGGCATTGAATCCTTCCTCCCCTAGCCCATCTTGAGAAGTGCTGCCTTTGCTCCCTCAGATATCCCTTCTACCTGCCTGTGTTTTTGTAGAGTATCAGGTTGTGTGCTTTACACAATTGTCTCTTTTAGCCTTCCAAACAGACCTGTGCCATAAGTATATGGTCTCTACAATACATAGGAGACATCTGAGGCCCAGAGAGGTTGAGCAACTTGCCCACAATCACACAGCCAGTAAATATTGGTATTGGGATTCTAGTTTACATTTTGCTGGCTCTAATGCCTGGTGTGAGTTCTGGTGTGATGCTGTGAGTTAATGTGCTGGACTGCAAAGTAGGTTTGAACAGCAAAGTCGGCAGTTGAAGCTCACCAGTCACTCCTTGGAAACCCTATACAGGGTTGCTATGGGTCGGAACTGACTCGACAGCACTTAACAACAACAACAACGATGCCTAGTGTGGTGCCATAGGATAAGCTCTTGACCTCAAGGTCAGTTTGAATAGCAAGGTCGGTGGTTGAAACTCACCAGCGGCTCCTTGGAAACCTTATACAGTGTTGCTGTGAGTCAGAACCGACTCACTGCCACTTAACAACAATACATGTCTATGATGTGGAGTCCCTGTGTGGCATAAATGTTTAAACACTTGACTACTAGCTGAAAGGTTGATGGTTCAAACCCACCCAGAGGAGCCTTGGAGACAGGTTTAGCAATCTACTTCCAAAGGATCACAGCCTTGAAAACTCTCTGGAGTAGTTTTATTCTGCACACACCAGTCACCATGAGTTGGAACTGACTTTACACCAACTGATAACAACACCGCCATGTAAGCACAGGCTGTTGCATACAGCATGGCCAAATGAAGGACATTAATGATAAAAGCTCTTGACGCTTTCCCTACACTAGGCTGCCTCCAGTGGGGAGTCATGGCAGTAGTAGAATAGGGATGGGGTGATTTAGTCTTAATGGGGTGTGGGGAGCAAAGTCTAAATAGGAAAGCCTTCAAAAGGGGTGCTCCAAGGGCAAGTAGGTGTTGGTTAGGGATAGAAAGCTAGTTGCAGGTATGGAGGTGAGGCTATTGTTGGCTTTGACCCATAGTTTCATTTCTGCTCAACTGCCAAAGTATTGCGTCAACTATGTTATGTTAATACTACTAGTTGACCTATATGTGGTTTTTGGAGTGTTTGGGTGGTTTTGGTCCTCATTTGGTAACTTCTTTTTTTGTTTACTACACTTTATTCATTAAGGAGCTCTGGTAGTGTAGTGGTTACGAATCGGGCTGCGAACCTTAAGGTCAGCGGTTCTAAACTACCAGCCGCTCCGCGGGAGAAAGATGAGGCTTT